AATCTATTTTTTTATTAATATAGAGTATCGATATCAACTAACTCTTATTCTAACTTTTGATATCTTATTAGTTTTCCATTTAATATTTCAATTTCTAATTCTTATTTTAAGTTAATCTCTTGTTATTAGCTTAGCTTCTTTGATTTAATCTCACATTCATTTGTTAAGTCTTCTATTTTTTTTTTGTAAGAATCTGAGATAGAATTCTAAGTTTCAATTTCTCTTCTGTATTATCTCTGAATGACATTGACTTCATCATCAATTTTTTTTTGATTAATAAGTTCAAAATGTTTTGCTTGACTGTCAATATCGAATTGATGTTTATCTTTTAAAGAGTTTAATAGAGAATATAATCCTTCATTTTAAATTAATAGTTCAGAAGCATTCAGTTTTAAGTTATCTAATTCCTTTTAGCAATCTAGATATTTTTATTAAACTTCTTAGTAATTTTTTTTGAGTGTGTTATTCTCATTATTTAATTATTTGTTTTGTTTCTCTAATTAATCACAGAATTGTTTAGTTTCATATTATTCTTACTCTTTGAAAACATTGCTTTGCATCTTCTGCACTTAATATTGTAATTCTTAATACTTCTTTTTAATCATCTCACTGTCATTGTATTATATCTATAAATCATATTACAATTAATCTATGATGTTAAGCAAGAAGCGTATTTCACCTTGAGGGTCTTTGATTTATACATCCTCTTTATCAAAGGGATAATGTTCTAGGGATGATGAAACATTAGCAGGAGATTGATAAATGACAGGTGATTGATGATGATATTTATGAAATCTAGGACTTGTGCTAATCTTATAGCTGCATTCTTGGGAGGAATTTAACAGATCATTCTCATACATTCCTTTCTTATTACCATATTTTTGAAGCTTTTCAATTAGCTAGGATTCACTCATGTCAGTTAATAATATAATTAAAGAGGTGAATAAAATAAAAAATGAATGTAGAATAACGAAAATAAATAGAAAAGATGTTCACGAAGTCGTTCCTTATATTTCGATTTATCGTTCTGTAATGATTTTACCATTAACCCATTCTGATTAAACCTCTTTAGCCTAATCCATTTTGAGTAGTCCCTTACCATGTTGTTTACCCTATTTCCACTCCCCTTTATAATATCTACCATCTGACCATTCAAATATTCCATATCCTTCTTTTAAATCGTTTTTGTATCCACCTTTATACTTTCTGCCATCCGGCCAATTAAAAGACTACAATAAGATTGCTATTATTACTCCTTCTCCGTCCATTCGATTTTCTTTCCATTCGCCATCATAAACCTTTCCACTTTTCCAGTAATAAACTCCATGTCCATCCATTTTATTACTTTTAAATTCTCCAATATACATATTTCCATTTCCCCATTTGAACATTCCTCTTCCTTCCTTTTTGCCATTTTGATATTCCCCTTCATAGGACGACCCATCCTACCAAGTTTCCTTCCCATGCCCTTGCTATTTGTCATTAACCCAGTTTCCTTCATAACAAGCCTAATTTTTGTATCTATGGTATTTACCAATACCATTTGCCTGGTCGTTCTTCCACTAACCTTCATAGTAATCTCCAAAGGAATGAATCAATCTACCATATCCAGATGCTTCATTATTAATGAAACCACCTTCGTAATAACTTCCATCTGGCCATAATAGTTTTCCATAACCATGTTTTTAGGTATCTTTCCATTCTCCAGAATAGATAAAATCATTGTCAAACTTAATTGGAGGATTTTGTTCTCCTCTTTCAATACCCTCTGGAATTTCAAGTAATGGTAATTAACTTAATACAGTTCGTACGATTTGATTGGATACCTCTGGAAAGAACTCTAAACGTTAACCTAATTTTGGAGCCTCAACACTGGCCTATCTTCTGATTATGGATGGTTGATTAAACAATGAGTGTTCTTTGACATTGTTAGCTTCTGCAAAATGAAAATAATTAAAATACTTAGGCCTATCTTAACAAAGTCGTCAGCCTCATATTCTCTTACATCACAATCTTCATTGTTTATCGATTATTTTTCCAAAGAAATCAGCTAATTTTTAGCCAGTGCAGTAGGTTAAGAACAACAAGCACTTGCATTACCCATTTAATTATTATATTTATAATATATCATCAAAGAGGTTTTTTATCGATATTACAATGGGACAAGAATGTTAGAAATGCTAAATGAGATCAGAGGGAGTTCAGAGTGAAATCAATAAAAAAGAAGAAATTAGTTCTGATTCTGATCCAGAATATGAAGAGGAAGATGAAAAACAGCCTTGTAATCATTACTTTTTAATTAGAAAAACCACCTTCAATGGATAGCAAATCCAACTCTTCCACCTTTTTTAAAGAGTAATACATTTCCCAAGAATCAAAACAGGAGTAAGTTGAAAGTTATTAGAATCAACTTAAATTCGAAGGTGGTGGGATATATACTGGAACGATTTTCAACAATAAAGCAAATGGATTTGGCAGATTAGTTATGCCGAATGGCGATATCTATGAGGGCAGTTTCGTTAACAATTATTTAGAAGGAGATGGAAAATGTATATATGCAAGAGGACCTGTCTATACTGGATAATTCAAGCAAGGAAAATCAAATGGAATTGGTAAAGAAGTATGGCCAGATGGTTCTGTTTATGAGGGAGAGTTCTAAAATGGAAAAAAGAATGGAAAGGGAATCTATAAGTGGAGTTAGCAAAGTACATATAATGGAGAATGGATGGATAATATGATTAATGGAATTGGCAAATACGAATGGCCAGACGGTAGGGTAATTTATTAATTATTCAGAACATAGTCTTATTACGGTTAATGGGCTAGAAATTAAATGCACGGCAGAGGATTCTATAGGTGGATTGACGGTAAATACTATGATGGGGAATACGAAGCTGATAAAAAGTCTGGATTCGGTATCTTTAATTGGCCTGATGGAAAATAATACTAAGGATATTGGCTGGATGGAAAATAACATGGAAAAGGACTTATGATAAATAAAGAGGGAAAGAAGAAATTTGGAGAATGGCAAAATGGTAAATTAATAAGTTGTTCTGATGAATCTAATTTATAAATAATCCCGGATGGTTGGTTTCTGAACACTTTTAATTAATGATTATATTATCTTACTTGTATGTATTTTCTTTTTAATATTTTATAATGATTAAATTATCCAAAAGCAAAGATATATACTAATTTAACTCCTATAAACAAGTTACTTCATTTTACTTTATGTTGTTAAAAGCAAAATTTAATCATTTGATAAATATTATCATTAATTTACATCCATATATGAATATCCAACTATCGAATGACTAACAGTTTCCAGTTCTAAACCTTATTTTATTAGGTTAAAGTGATATATATTGTAATTTAATTCTCTTTTTTAAATCAGAAATTTAGAAAATGCTTCTGAAAAAAATTAAAATACTATGTAAAAATCTTAATACTTGAATATTCAAGTAGAATTTAATCCTTCTAAATAGAGAATAGATAGCTAATTAAATATTAAATTAATTATTCTAGAATTGAAAACACAAATATCAGTCAGCATTCATTAGTTTTAGTTGTCAGAAGAAGAACATGCTTAATTTTCATCAAAGAACTTTCCAATTCATCTATCATGACTTTCATATTCTAACACTACTATAATTTTTGAAGGGCTTCTTATTTAGACTTCGTGTTGTCAATAATTCTTTAAAATATTTCTTTATATAAATTTGTAATTGTTTTGTTTTTAATTTTCTTATTCTTTTTGATCTTATTTATTGTTTAAGGAATTACAGAATCGATAGAAATTAGATTACAATCCTGATCTTCTGAAAGTTATTCAACCTATTAGATCTAACTACGAAAATCTAAATAGTTTAAGTTATTATCATATTTAATCTTGAGGGTTTAACGACCAAACTGTATTGGAGAAGATGAAATATCAAATAACTCATTTTCATTCCAAGATTATTGAGACCAATTCTCTTCTGTAGATTAATATTGATCTAGATTCATAGTTAGTTATTCTAAATTATATTTATTAGCTTCATTTTTTGGATTTAAATTACTGCATAATACGTAATATGTCGGTTTAATCGATATTAACATAAAATAATGTTAAGAAATTAATAATAAAAGAGATAAAGTAATTTTATTAGCAGTCCATTTTATACATTATCAATTTTAAATCAAATCCCTTTCTAATCAAATTCATAGGTGCTTAAGTAAGATCCATCAAAGTTATCATACTAATATCTCTTTGAGTTAATACCATATACAAAATTGTCTTAAATATTGATCTATAACTATTATTAATATTGGATTAATATTTCAATTTTGATAAGTATTCTATGACATAAAATTTATAATGTTGTTGTCTATTACGGAATATTAAATAATATGAACATATATGAAGATTAGGAAGACTATCATATTAAGTAGCAATAAAGAATGTTTGATCTCTTAACTCATTGTTTTATTTAGCAATCTTCACTTTAATTAATTCTAATCCTATTACTTCTATGGTAGAAATAGCAGATTAAACTTTAGATTAAAAGATATGTTACTTGTTATTCAATCTCTAGTAAATTCATATTTAACTTCCAATATATCCGATAAGAATCCACTTCATATGAATTTTGAAATAAAAATGATATAACAAGGAATTGTCTCTTTTATTAAGCATCGGGGTAAGAAATAGAATTCAGTTGTAATTAATGCTTGAATTCATATAATTTTGAATAATATTTCTTATAATATGAAATATGAATTATTTGATGATTTTAATGCAACTATTAATTAAACAACGTGCACATTATTGATATTAATTAATTTAATAAATGTCTGAAAAAGCTTAACTCGCCAAGGATGCAATAAAGAGAAGACAAGGTGGAGGCAAGAGTCGTAAGATATTTGTGTTTACATGATTTAGCATCAAAAGCAACAGAAAATGGAGGACAATCAGGATTAAATTTCTATTCTGGAGATGTCTCATCCCTAAAAGTTCAACCAAACACCGTACTTATAATTAGTCTTGTATATTTGGGAATCGTTGTGCTCTTACACATATTCAGCAAACTTAGATCAGGAGGAGCAGAAACTGCCCCTGAAGGACAATGATTCATATTATATTATATAAATATCTACGCATGTTTTGTTTTACAGGTCATGATCACATGATCACATGTATTAGGAAATTGAAACCTTAATGCATATACCAAATTGATAGTATTGCGCTAAGATCATAAAATCAAATGGATCATCTTCTGAATATAGCTTTGAAAAAAGTACATTAAAAACAAGTGTATAATTTCTAATTAAGTAATATGGCTAGAAATAGGTATAATAATTCAATCTTTACGTAATAAATATCTACAAAATATATAAACTTTAGATTGAGATAATACATTGAATAATCAATATATATCCTTTAATTTTATAAAAGATAGAGGAATTTGAATGCAATAATTTGCATTCTTATCTTTATGTGTTATATCAATTTGGACAATGAATAGAATAGTGATAAAATATATATGTTATTTCAATAATAAAGCATTCTCTGAATTGATGTATGAGTTTTAATAGAAAAAAGGAATGGATAGAGGTTAGAATTGAGTGAAATTTTGAGTTAGAGATGATGTTGTTTTTGTTTATTCTTCAATCTGAATAGAGATCAATATAAATTAAATATTAAAATAAAAATGCATTTGAGGTATTATTTGAATGAGGAAGGAAAAAGAGTTTACACTTTAAAAAACACACTTGATGATGGTTCATATACATTTAATGCTCATCCTGGTATAGATTAGAATTAATTGAATAGCGAGATTTAGTCCCGATGATGTTAATTAGAAATATCGTGTTGAATTAAAGAAGAGATTTGGTTTATTACCAACTTAAGGTGAACCTCATTAATTTTGAAATGTTAATGATTATAAATTTATATTTTATGTAATATCTATTAATGAATGTACGATCGGAGAGAATGAGGATGGATGATAGTGTAGATATTTTTAGTTAAAAACTAAAACAATATTTTAATATAATTCGTTTAAATATGTCTTCAAATATAGAGCTAGTTCCATTTTATTCCTCATTACTTCGTACAATTTAAAGTATGTACCAGTAGAAATTGATTACGGCTGAGGAAAGAAGTGAATTGAAGAATTTTGTTGTTTCTCATGATTCGAAAGATTTAGGGCAATTATTTAAATCTTACGAGAAAGGATAGTTGGAGTAATTTATTTTAGAAAATTACATAAATCCAAGAAACAATGAGTAATTTATGGAGGATGAGGATGATTCATGTTATTCTATATCTGAAATTGAATGTTAAAAAAGTACATTAAGTTGCACTCCTAATTAATTTGTATGGTAATTGAAACAATCCAAATAAACTAAATAAGAAAAGGAAGGTCATCGAAAAAGATCGAATTCATTTACCACATTCAAATAGCTATGATGATAGAAAGATGGACAAATTTTGAGTTTATTTGTATATACAACCTATTTCATATATTCAAATAAAAACAAATAAAAACAAAGTCGGATATTAATATTTATTATAAATATTTTATTAATTTAGTACTTTGCAATCCCTCTATTATAATAAATCAATTAAATCTATCTGGCAGAACTCTTGGAGCAATCAAAGTCCAAAAGTAAAGTCCAGAGCAAATCCAACTTGATCCTATTTTCACATTATAACTGAGTTGACTAGGCATATACAATTCAAAAGTGCCAACTCTGATGCTCGGACTACCCCAATTCGTAATCATCATAGCCATATACATTGAACAAAAGGTCATGACAATATGGAATACAATATATTGATTGGTCGAGTAAGGTTGTAATTCAATTTATTCAATTAAAGCCTTAGCTTCATTCATTTATTGAGTAGAAGTCATTTCGATTTCAATCTATTGATTTGAATTTTGATTTGATCTCTTCTTTTCATTTGATTTATCTAAGATTGCTAATGCCTATTTGCTTTGTTCTTATGTAGCAAATATGATGTAAATCAATGCAACAAAGTTTAAGATTCCATTAACGAACATCTAGACTTTCATGTTCTTTTCAGAATCATAAAATATATTGATATCTGCATTTGGATAACTGGATAATGCACTAAAAGTCTAGTATGTTATATAACAAGAGATACACCCTGTTGCGAGTAGAGATCCGTTAGGATTGAATCCAAATAATTAAACTACTGTTAATAAGATTATTATTGCAATATTAATAAGGTTGATGATGTAATTATGATCGAACCAAATAAAATTGTAGATATTTAGGATTAAAGCTAATGTAAATGTTAATGAAGCTGCAGCTACCAAAGCTGATCCCATTCCTTCAATTCCGTCATCATACATTCTTGCCCACTTCTCAGCCCACAAGTAGAAAATATCAATGTAGATAATTATTTAAAATAGCTGATATATCCCTGAAGCAACGATACTTATGTCTACAAAGACTTCAAAAAATCGGTTTGGCATATAGAGTGTTCCATAAAAAAACACTGTTATGAATCTATTTATCATATAAATCATGTTTACATGAATTTGAGCAACCATAATCCATCGTTTATCATCTTAGCCAACCATCCTTTTTAACACATAAACAATAGTATTATGATATAAAATATTGTAAGAACAAAACTCATCCTATAGATGCCTGATATTCCCAAACATAAATTCGAAATTCCTTCTGGACATCCAAAATAATGTAGATAATTGATATAAAAATCTTAAATGTAGTACAATGCAATCACAGTAAATGCCATGATTAAATAGTTTAAGAGTATGTAAGCTAATTTTATTTGCTCTTTTAAGGTTGTTTCAGCAAAGTACTTACAGCAACAACAAGCAAGATTACAAATTTGTGTTCCTGCACAACACACAGCCTCACATGCAACAGTAAGACACATTACAATAATTATAATAATTAATTTGTCATATTAATTTCTATTCATAAATAAGAGTAAATTGTAACTATACTACAAAATTAGAGCATAATTCTGTAAATTCACTCATTATATGATTAATATTCGAACTATAATATAAGAAATGAATGCTTATTCAAATAATGATTAAATTGCTATTATTATATATATACATTTTAATACACAATAATTCAGAAAAATATTAAATACAGCACATAAGCAACGATTATTGGTATCAGAATGTGTCTTAACTGAATTTTTGGTTTTTCTTATTATTAATTTTATTGAGTTTATTCTTATTCTTGTTATGATCTTTAAGGAGAGGCTGATATTTTATTGGGGGAGATCATATTTTATTCGGTTTTAATATCTGAACCTCTCCTTTTTGGAGAAGGTGATTGCTAAATGACTTTCTCATCAGTGTTTTCTATTTAAGATGCATATTGTTGTTCTTATTACCTACTCATTTTAACACCATATTGCTATTATGATAAATGGAAATACCGTGTTTAATGGGTTGATCTTGCTGGAATTGATTAAACGTAGCACATTGTAGGATATAGAATTAACGATTCCGTCTATTTAATCTTTGTCATGATTGGAAATCTCATAAAATTTTGCCTCTAAAGAATCAGCAAGATCTCTCCCTTAGGATGTTTGTACTTGTCTAAATTGAGAAATTATAGTGTACCTTTGATCTTCTAAATCTTTATTAGTTGCAACAATAACGATCTGAATCTTATCAGAGGAGACTTATTTAAGAATGTTTATCCAATTTTGTAGGGATTTAAATGAGGCTTCACTATTTATTTTGTAGAAAACAATAGCAGCAGCTGCACTAGATTGAGTATATAAAGAAGATTAATTACTTTTAACAAAATGTTTTCTATATTGCCATAAATTGAGAGCTTCCAGACTAATTAAAATAGTAAAAGTTACAGTATCCCATAATTGATTTTGAACAACAACACCATCATTGAATTCAATAGATTTGCTTTCAAATTCCAATCCGATAGTAGGATCATACTCCTAGATGAATTTGCCTTTCACATATTAAGACAAGAAGCAGGATTTGCCAACTCCTAAGAATAATTAATGAATGCAACCTGTGTCTCCAATCAATACAAATTTAAAGAGATACTAATAATCTTCAAAATTCATGATTTTAATAATAGTAATATATTAAGTAATTCATTACTAAATGCAAATAGCTAAAAGTAATTGAGTTATAATAAGCTTCCACAGTTTATCCGGATGCAATCGAAAAAGAGAAAATGAATCCCTATTCAAACCAGAAAAGCGATCAGTAGAGATATCCTCGGGAACAGTTAGTTGAGAATGAAAAAAACCTGAATTTAGGAGGATCTTATCAAAATTATATCTATAATTGTGGAGAATGTTGTGGAAATTGTTCAGCCATTTGTCCATGCAATCCCTTTGTAGAATATCCATACAAAAAGATAGAACAAGGGTATGTAGGAGTTTACTTAAGATTTGGAAAGTATGTGAAAACAAGTATTGGAATAGAATATATCTTAGTGCCTCCGGGTTTATAGTATTTTAATCCATGCACTGATAAATTGATCAAAATTGATTGTAGAACTTAAATGATAGACTGTGAGAAACAATAGGTGATAACAAAAGACAATATTCTCTTATAAGTTGATGCATCTGTATATTACAGAGTGTTGGAACCAAAGAAGGCTATATTCTATATTTATGATATGCAAATGGCTGTTTCTTAAATTACATTGGCATCAATAAAATGTGTAATTGGTGCATATACCTTACAAGATGTTTTAGAGAAAAGAACTGAAATTTAAGATTATATTTAACAGTTTGTTGATGATCACGTAGATGATTGGGGAATAGATATAGAATTAATGATGATTAAAGATATTTAGATTGATGATAGAATTAAATCTGCATTAGCATAAGCAGCTACGGAACTTAGGTATGGACATTGATTTAAATTTCAAGAGCTGCATAAGCCAAAATTTTAATCGCCGAATCAAATGTTTAGTCTGCCAAATTGATGAAAGAAGCTGCTGAACTTCTAAGTTCTAAAGCAGCTATGTAAATCAGATACCTAGAGGTTATTAATAAAATAGGTTGTGAACAACAGACAAAAGTTATGATAATATGATACAACAATAATTCAAATCATCTTTGAATACACTGATGAAAATATCTTTCCTAACAGTAACTTTGCCAACTTCTCTCATCCACTTCTTGCCCTCTTTCTATCTATCCAATAACTTCATCTTTCTGGTGTAATCCCCTCCATAACATTAGCAGTAACGTTTTTCCCTGTGCTCCCTATCTTCTCTGCTGCTATCACTTTACCACCAACCTTAGCTTAAATTGATACAACAAATAAATGTTAAGGGATATTGTCCTTCAATCTTTAACAAATCTTCTTTCCCAATTAATGAGCTCTCTCTTCTGGTACCATAAATGACAATGCATCCACTGGATCATACATAAATGCATTAACAATTTAACAATGTTTGCTTTTTCAAATCCGCAGAATTCGTATTCCAATGACCCATACCCTTTAGTTGCACTCTTTATTTTATCAAACAAATCCTAGATGATTTCATTCAAAGGGAATTTAAAAGTGTATCTATCTTATTTATCATACTTCTCTTAATCTACTATTCTACCATTCCTAGCATCACACAATTAAAATATTGTGGCACTATACTCTTCTGGACACATTATAGTAGCAATAGCCATAGGTTGTTCATAATGTTTGATGACAGCTGCATCTGGTGCCAAAATTGCATTCTCAACCATTACCTCTTTTCCATCCCTCAATATTGCTTTATAAGGTACACTTGTAGATATCAAGATGACACTCAAATTATACTCATTCTCCAATCTCTCTCTGAAAACATCCATATGTAAAACTCCTAGAAAACCACAAAGATATTCATTTCCTAATGTTGCTGAACTCTCCTTCTAAATTATCACAGCTGGATCAGTCAATGCCAATTTGAATATTGATTTATTTAATTCAGCATAGTCATCTGGGTCTTCAGGATAAATTCCACAATAGACCAATGGTTTTACCTCCTCAAAACCAGCTTCAGGCAAAGTCTTAGATAGAGGATGTCTAAATGTATCTCCTAATCTGGCCTCATTTGCTGCCTTCACATTCGTCATCACATATCCTACCTAACCCGGTTCCAACCTCTCCTAAGGAACATTCTCTGGACTTTAAAGCCCTACCTAATTTAATAAACTTGAATACTTCGAAAACATCATATTTCTTTTTGAATGCACAGGATAATATCTAATCTCCTTTCTTTAAATACCCTCCTTTCATTAATATCAACAACACAACTCCTTTGTCTCTTACATACCAACTGTCAATCAAAAAACATTTCAGTTCTTTATGATCCTAAGGAGGAGGTATCAATGTAACTATATTATTTAACAACTCTGTAACCCCAGTTCCTTACTTAGCAGATACCTTAAATATCTCATTTGGATTCATATCGAATTTTTCAACTAGTTATTCTATAACACTCTCAGTATTTGCAGATATCATATCTATTTATTGATAACGGGTATAATCTTTAAATTCTACTTCTTAGCCAAAATATAATTAGATAGCATTTACGCTTAGATTCCTTGAGTTGCATCAATCAATATGATTGCGCCTTCACAAGCTCCCATTTAACGTGACACTTCATATGTAAAATCGACATGTCCAGGGGTATCAATCAAATTATACAGATACTTTCTTCACTAATATTACCTCTATTCCATCCACCTTATAAAACATATCTGCTGATTATGCTTTAACAGTAATTCCTCTTTCTTTTTAAACTTCCAATTTATCCAAATATTACTCATGTTTCCCTTTGCTAAATTGTCCCTGTGATTTCTAGGAATCGATCTGCTAAAGTAGACTTTCCACGATCGATATGAGCTATGATACAAAAATTCCGATGCTTATTTAATATTTGGATAAGAGATGAAAGGAAGTACAATTAACATGATATTTTTGATCCATTATTGAATTTTAAAAAATATATTTTAATTTCACAATTAAATTATACACAACACTCAATTTTGATCCTTTTTATTTGGTTTATTCAATAATTGCGATCTTAATTCTCTTGCTAGTTTCTTCCTATCATTTGTTTAATAAGAATAATAATTTGATATCACTAAAATTATATCAACATTCTAGGTATATCGATTGCTTTATCTGCCAATTATTAAAATTTCTCTTTCTTTTCCTCATCTGTCAATGGATTCTCTTCTTGTCTCTGCTTTATTGTATCTTACAACCAACTTAATCTGCTCTATATTAATCCTAACTAATCCAATTTTTGTTATGCATTCTAAATTTTCTAATCTAATTCTTCAGCAAATTATCTTTCTTCTTCTGACATAGCATCTTCCTGTTGTTCATGATTCTTGTCTTCAGAGTTGTAATTATTCATTTGAGTAAAAGTTATTATATAATATTACAAAATTTGAATATATAAATAAAAAATCAAAATTATTGTTGTTTACATTTTAAGTATTTAGATTTCCAATATTATATTTCTTATATTAATACATCCTTTTCAATGTCATTTTATTTCAATTTTGCTTGATATTTTAATAAAATCTATTTAGTTTTATCGACAATTGTTTATAAGTTTTCATCGATTTTAATTTTCTGTTCAATTGATGTTATTGGATTCTAATGTATTTATGTTGTTGTTGAATTTGGATTCACTAATTGTCCTGATGAATTATTAGAGAAATTGCACTTGTTTCTTTGCTTCAATCTTAAATCAATGAATTCGCCTTCAATAGATTGCTTTTATGAATAAGATTCTGAGTGTTGAAGAGTTTATCTTTTTGGCTTAATTTACTTTTAATCTTTTTCATTGAGTTTTTCAAAAAGTGCAATTAAACTGCTTCTTTCAGTATTTTAAATGGGTAATTACTCAGCTTAAATTTCATCAATAGATCGAACAAAGTTACCAAATTGCTTTTGCATATCAAAATTGTTATTCGATAAGAATTCGTGATATTTGTTAATGTCTTTATGTTTATTGGGTTTGAGTAACTTCAAAGCGTTGCACTTGAGAGTTTTGAGAGAATCATTATTATCAGTTGTATGATTGTATTTTAACACAGAACCCTTCGATTTTTGCTACAAAGAAGCAGAGACGAAATATTATTGCTTAAGCGAGTTGGTTGGCGAAACTTTAAATATCTTATGTGATTCACTATTCTTCCCCAAAATGTTGCAAAGTTTCTTCTTCATCTGATTACAATCTTATTTATTCTAAATTAAAACAAATATACTTCTTGTTTTGGATGGTCCTTGCCCTTAGAAGATTGGGGTTGACTATGAATTTAGTGAGAATTCGACATTGTGTCCTTAATAGAAAGCTTAGATTTTAAGTTCTGCGACTTTGAGATTGTTGTTTATTTAGAATACATAATATTTATTTTATTGTATATATTCTAATTGATATTTTGAGATGCATAAATGAATTCATTTCAACTCACAAAAAGTATGATATAAATTATTGAATGCATTATTGATGGCTGCAAATCGAGTATTATATATATATATAAAATTTTAAATAATGTGAAAATGATCAATTATTCAATAACTCTTTCTCTTTGGATTTATATAATGAATCCAAAGATTGTGTTTACTTTTCAAATAAATCTTAGATTTGTTTCTCTGCCTGTCTCATAGTATCTTCGGATGTGACTTTTTTATAAGGTTTTAACTTGGGTTAAATAATTGTTTACATCATCTATGCATTCATGTCTAATTTGTCTAAGGTTTTGTTTAGCATCTTCCATTAATTTCTTCAAATTATTGACTGCCATTATTCTGCTCTCCTTTGTATTGCCTTAAGCTAATTGACATACTATTTGTTTGTCTTGTTTCTTAACTTACAAATTAAGGTCTGAATTTTCTAAAGCCTATGAATGAAATTATGCATACCTTCATTACATCCATCAATGTAGATTCATCAAATACATTTAGAATCAAGACTCCTTACGATTTTTGAGATGCCTAAGCCAGAGAAGACAAGGGCAATTTTTCACCGTAAGCTTAAATTGATACTCTGTCCAGCATTTCTGGTGTTAGTTTACCTACTTACAATTTCTTTAGAGCTTCTTAAAATTTCTGAGCATATTGATCAAACTTGGATTGATAGGAAGTAAAATCAATAGTTTTTGAAAGTCCAAGATTTTATTTCTCTTGCTTTTTATCCATCCTTTCCTGATCCTTCTTGCTGATCTTCGCAAAATTATATTAAAATTATCTTTGAAAACAACGTTACTGCATGATAACAGGTCGAAATGCTGTTGCGAATAATTTTATCATAAGTTATTAATAATTTCTTTTTGTTAATTTTATGGCATCAAAAGAAAAACAAACATTTTATTAAGAACCCAGTTTTCAATTCTTTGTCAAGAAAGGTCTAATAAAATAGAATAATAGAGGATAGGTCTTTCCAATTTTCACATATCGCGTTAATAGTCAACCATCTCAATCAAAATATATTGAACTCAAAGTATTCCCCTCAAAGATTGCAAGGAGATCAAATTTCCAATAAGACAGTCCTTCTCCTTTTGTGATCACAAATATACCCAAAAAAAATACAGTTTATCAGTCCTACATTGACAACATAGTTAAGCGAAAATTGAAGGATAAACCAGAAAGTCCTAAGAAATACTGCAATTCTATTCATGAAATTTAGGGGAAACAAATTGAAACTGTAAAAGATTGTTTCCTTCCCAAACTCCATTGTCTAAATAGCAAACCGTAGAGGTTGAAGTATCGTCATTCGTTGCCAAAGTAAGATCTCTATACTGAACCTAATCCTGAGCCAGATCCTTCAGATAGATTGTAACCATGGGATTCAAGCTAAAAATCATTCACTCTCTAATGAAATTGATAATATTTTAAAGAGTTACTATTTATAATTTTGATTAACAATCTAAATTAAGGGTATGTTTATATATGGAAATTGTGATTTACTGAATAAATTGGATCGGAAAAGAAATACATGACATATTTTTAAAATATGACTCAGAAAATGCTATTTTTATGTCAATTATAATTTTTATTATATATGAATACGCAATACATGTATTACTAACCTTATGATGCTTTATTTTAACAATTCTAAAAAAATGGGAAAATAACTAGGGCTGATTTGAAATCCATGTTGTAGTCTATTAATTACAATGATATGCAAATAAATAATGTGTTATCCAAAGTGAATGATGATGAAATAAGTAAAAGTAATTAAGTATATAGCTTAAAGTTAGTTTATGCGTAGTATCGTGGTTCAAAACATCCCCACTTACAGATTCCCAACTCAAATTCCATAACCCATACCCTAACAAGTAGATCAAAATTAGAATCAGCAAAAATTTACTTAAGAATCACAGCAATAAATTTATGAGGAATTCAAAACCCTTTTAAAAGGATAAGAATATGATAAAGCGGTGAATTTTCTATGTAAAAGAGTGTACGAATATTATTAGAATAAAACAAGGATATGGATTTGGTGAATGTAGTTGATTAGCAGAGCAAATAGATTTGCTCCTATATCGTAGTGTAATTTGATAATGAAGGGTTGGCGTTGAAATTTCTGTCTCTATTGACAGATTTTCGAGTTAATTTAAATTTCAAGGATTCGTTAAAATAGTCAATATTATTTTACATATGCAGAGATGGTAAACTGAAATTGCTTGATTTCGTATTGTCTTAGAATGCAGTCAACATAAATGATCAAGATTAATATGGATAAACTCCTTTATTTTATGCAGCCAGGGACAATAAAGTAGATATTGTCACAAGGTACTTCTCATGTATTTGAATAGACTTGTTAAAGTTGGAGCCAATGTCAATTTAGTGGATACCCTCTCAAATCAAACAGCATTATTCTATTCAGCCAGAGAAGGGAATGCTGAAATCTGTAAAATTCTAATTGATGTAAGATCTTAGACTATATAGAATGGTTGCAATCCAAATCATCAAGATCAACACAAAAAGACAGCCTAATTCTTTGCCAAGAGATTTTAGAGGAAGGAAGTGATGGAACTGTTCAATTCATATTTTGGAAAAAATAAAGATGATTTTAAACAAAATTCTAATTACAATAATGAGAATAGCAGAGGAGAACAACCTAAATAATAGAAGAAGAAAAATAAGGATTTGCCTAAGTAAGCATATAAATTAATGTTTACTGATGAATATGGTAATCTTCAAGAGATTACATCCTCAGAATTTTCTAAATTTTAATAGTAATACCCATAAATAGCTAATCTAATAATTAATGCAGACGAATTAATAGATGACAATGTTTTGAACTCTATGAAAGATGATGATATTTGGGAAAAAGTAGCTAAAAAGGTGTTGTAAATATTATGGAAAGCAAAAGGAGCACAATTATTTCATAATCCTGTGGACGAGAAAAAGTATGGCATCAATGATTACTATGACATTGTTAAAAGACCCATGGATTTTGGAACTGTTAAGGTATTTAACAATATATAATACTAAATAGCAAAAATTAAATGCAAATCAATATAAAAATTGTAAAGAATTCTATCATGATATCATGTTGGTGTTTGATAATTGTATATTATACAATGGATCAGAAAATGATATTGGCTAAATTGGACTCTCATTAAAATAAGAGTTCTTAAATTAAATTGAGTAGACTGGTCTAAAAAAACATTTATAATGATATATTATATGAAAAATATCTAATCAATTTAAAAATTGCAAATATTAGATTCTCCCATCAAATTCAACTACTAGATGAATTAAATATCTAAATAGTTGACAAAGATATATTCAGAAATATGATTTAAAGATATGAAATCAGTTAAAAATTTGATCTAACTTAAATAGAGTAATATAACCTATTGTTGATCTTAAATTAAGATAATCCAATTGAATATTATTTCACTTTAATAACATTCTAAAAAATGAATTTATTATTATTACAAATAAAGTCATAATTTTAATTATCAATTATTTTTACTATCTTAAAAAGACCTTTAAGTTTAATAAAAATACAAAAACAAAAAAGTAAAAGAAATATCAAAATATTTTGTAGTTTTAGAAGCAGAGGAAAGTATAAATTCACCAAATCTTTTTGAATAAAAATAGCGAAATTTGGGTTGCTAAAAAACGAAAACCTATATTTTATACTTAATCTAAGCAACAATATCAAAGGAAGATCAACATTCAAAAATTGAAAACTAAATTACTGGAGTATTGATGGTTGGTGAAGTAGGAGGATCGATAAAGTCTATATAACTTTCATTCAGTTGATTTTAAAATAAATAGATTAATATACTCAAATTTGTTAACCTTAAACTGAGTTTTCTATGATTGTTTCAATTAATGATTCTTGTATATATTTATTTTAGAGATAAGAATTACCAATGATTTGATATATTTATAAATATAATCATCTATAAATTAGTAAAAACAAATGAAGAAGAGTTTAAAATAGCAACAGCAGCTCTAGTTAAAATAACTGTATTGCAGATAGAAACTTAATATCTAAACTGAAGTAGATGACACACGAAACACAAAGCAAGTAAGTAACTATTATCAAGTTTAGATTTCTTTAAATTATTCTCCTTTAAATAAGATAGATCAAAGTGTATATACAAATAAGTGGAAAATTAACAAAGGATTATTGGGTAACAGAACAAACAGGATGTTGACTCAACAATAATCAGATTCAGAGAATGAATTCCCAAATCAATTGAAATTAATTTAACTAACTCAAAAAAGCTAGGCATAAACAAAAAGATCTATATCGACTAAAAGAAATAATAGTATCGGAGATTACAATTAATCTCCTAATAATTAAAATAGACAATCCTTATATACAAGTCAAAAATAAAGATCGTATTCTATACAACAATAATAATAACAACAAAGATAGCAACAGTAATCTCTATTTTAGTCTATTGGGGTCAATAAGAATCAAATAGTTGATGCCAAGTCGTTTGTTTAATAATTTGAGTTAACGATAGAAGAATGGGATAAATTTGGAAATAGGTTCCCTTTTGGATTTCAAAGGGAGAAACTATTGGGAAGAGGAGGTTTTTCATTGATTTGGTTAGCTAAAGAATAGAAGGGAGGTGCTTTGTGTGCTGTTAAATAGATCCCAAGGAAATCTAAACATGAAACTCATTTCAAAGAATTAGCATTTTGCACTTAGTTTTTTAACAAAGGAGGTTAAATAAGGAGTTAATTTTAGTAAAATGAAGGGATTAAATACTTATGCAAGATGCTAGATTATGTTATTGATCCTCACGATGTATTTATAATGTATGAAGTTTGTGGATATTCATTGGGAACTTAATTGTATGACTTTGAATCCCTCAATAATAGTTATAAGGTATAATAAGAATACATGGTAGTTAATTCCATAGAAATTAAGTTTGCTCTTTAAGTAGTTTCCTGTCTTTTTATTCAAGTTTATCAAAAGAATCACCTAAACTTTAGAATTGTTAGTCAAAACTGGTTGGGTCCATAGTGATATTAAAAGTGAAAACATTCTTATCTCTTATGGATCATAAGATGTCGAATTTAAAATAATAGACTATGGTTCATCTTTCAAATTTGCTGAAGTCTTTGAAAAGTTTTCAATGGCAACCCCTGAGTATATGTCCCCAGAGATGCTAACTTTCATACTTAGAGAGAACAAGATGTCTTACGATAATCAGTTAATTGAATCCCTTGTCAATTATGATAAGTCGTGGGTTATAGACATATGGGGATTAGGATGTGTTGTCTTGGAAATCATATCAGGACTGCCTTTATGGATGAGTTATGATACATAAGTAATCAATTATAAGGGTCAGAAAGTCATGGCTTAAGGTCTCTTTGCTGTTTCTGGTCGGAGTTTTAGTAAAATCGTTGAAAAATAAATTAAGATACTGACTAATCTAGAATTTGTATTGCGAGAATAAAATTATTCTGGTATTCAAGTTACTCCTTTATTAACTTAATTATTAAAAGGAATGTTAGCTATCAATCCTAAATAAAGATATTCACCTTAATAAATATTGAATTTACTTTAAGATATTTGATTCATTTTTGCAATAATACACATATCAATTAAATTTAAACATTTATTCTCTTCTTTTAATTATTCAAAACTATGTTCACTAAGGATCTATTTATAGCTTAATATTCGAAATAAATTAACATTAAAATATAAGTGCAATATTGATTTTATATTAGATTTTAATATTTTGCTATAGAAATTCAGAAAACTATTAGAATAACAATTACATCATTAAATATACTTGATGTGGTGCTAAAGCATAACAACTATGTATAATTCATTAATAAAATTATATCTAAATATAATAAAAAATTATCAATTCTTTTATAAATTAGATCAACACAATATCTTTAAAACAAAAATCTCTATGATTAAATGACAACTAAGTTTAATATTTATAAATTAAACTAAATTCAAATGTTTTCTAACAGTTAGATATATAAGTTATTGCAATTTATATTATTAAATAAAAATCAAATATGGCTGCACCTGACTATGATTCTTTTCGAAAGATTAAAGTGCTTGGAGAGGGCGCTTTTGGTAAAGCACTATTAGTAGAGGATATTCGAGATGGGTACTACATTTATTTTATTCTTAGGACTTATTGGGTTAAGAAATAAATAGATATCAGTTCAATGCCCTAAAAAGAAAAGGAAGAAACAATTAAAGAAGCTAAAATACTATAATGTTTAGATCATCCAAATATAGTTAAATTTAAAGATGTATTCGCAACTAAGTAAGGTAAATTATGTATTGTAATGGAATATGCTGATGGTAATAAATAATTTTATGGCTAGGTGGTGACTTAGATAAGAAAGTCAAAAGCTAATAAGGTAAACCCTTTACAGAATCATAAATACTGGATTGGTTCACATAAATTTGTTTGGCACTGAAACATGTTCACGATAGGAAAATTATTCACAGAGACTTGAAAGGATAAAATATATTTTTGAATAGAGCAAATAGAGTAAAGCTAGGAGATTTTGGTATTGCAAAGATTTTAGGAAACACTTTAGAAAAAGCAAAGACTTAAGTAGGAACTCCTTATTATTTGTCTCCAGAGATAATTGAATCAAAGCCTTACTCTTAGGCGGTAAATAATATCAATAAATGTAGAGCGACATTTGGTCTCTAGGGGCAATTTTGTATGAATTGTGTGCTTTGAAACCACCTTTTACTGCAGATAGTTTGCATTTCTTAGCCTTAAAAATTATTAAAGGACAATTCGTACAAATTCCAAGCACATATTCCAAAGAAATGAATAATTTGGTCAAAACATTATTACAAACATAACCATCAAAAAGACCAAATATAAATTAAATATTAAGTAAAACAAATTTTAATTACTTTCAGAAATGCCAATAATAAGCGCAAGAATGAAAGAGTTCCTGACCGAAAGTTAATAAAAGGTCGAATTTGCTCATACTATTTTGCATAAATAAGTAAATTATAATATAAAACAATTATAGAAAATAAATTGCTTAGCTAAATTGTCGGATTTAAAGCTAATTGATGAAGATAATCTTAGACCACCCCCTAATCTATTAAGTAAATAAAATAGTAGTTAATCATAATCATCATTGCAATAGCAACAACCATAATAATAATAACAATAATAATAATAATAATAATAATAATAATAATAATAATAATAATAATAATAATAATAACAATAATAAAAA